ATAGAAATAGAAATAAAAAACAGAGTAATTTCTCGGAAAAAGTCCGCACTGAACCAAAGGAAGATGAACAAAAATTTGAAAGAAATAGAGAGGATATTTAATTCTCTGATACCATATTAAAGTTTATCAAACTCACATCAATTAGAACCGATTACAATTCCATATATAAATTCGTATATAGGCTTAATTAAGAAGTGAAAACAGAGTAACTAACTTATAACAGACTCGACTAATCGACTCTAAACCAACCTCATCCACAATGACACGTGTGAATACATAAGTTATTGGTTTTTGACCCAACACATTACAAGGCATAAGATTACTTAAAAACATAAGAAGTTATAGTGTTGCGTGATAAGAAGGGAGAGATGAGAGTTGTGTAGAGTGAAGGAGTGAAAGTTGATATGGTTCAACCGTCAAAGACTGATCTTTTTCAAACAAAAAAATAATCAATCATTTAGATACGGTAAAGATCTACAGTACACAAATGGGTAAATTTTCCTTACAAAAAGAATAATGGAATCAATCAAAACTTTGGAAAAAACCAGAGAACAAAGCGCACACAACCTTGAAATCTCTGACTTTCCTATCAAAAGAGGAAACAAACATATAAAGCAAGTCTCTTCTTATCTTTTTTCAACTTACTCAGTTTCTTCACAAATCATTCAAAACACCTTTGAGGAGATCCAATCCTTCAGCAGAAATGCTTCTCCTCTTATGCGATTTCGGAATCTCAATCCGAGGAGGCGGTTCTGGCGAGAAACAGACAACAACTACAGTAAGATTATCGCAGCTGTTCCGTTGGAGCGCCTCCTTAACCAGAGCTTGTGAGCATTTCTCAGGGTCATTATGCTGCATCAGCTCTCTCCTCACCATCGTCACTGCACACTGGCTACTCATGACATCCCACAGTCCATCACAGCCCATTATAAGAAACTCATCATCCTCAGTCAGCACAATCTCCTCCAGCTCAGGCTCGCAGCTAAGCGGGCAAAGCGACCCTTTGGTTCCCTTAATGTGCCAATCTCCTAAAGCTCGAGCCACGGATAGCTGACCGTTAAGGTAACCATCGTAAATCACACCTCCAAGCTTCTCAATGCGTAGCCTCTCAGAAGTACAGTTAGGTTTGTGATCCTTAGATAGCTCAATCGCTCTGCCTCGTTTCCCGAGCACGGCTCTGGAATCACCCGCGTTCGCAATGAGCATCGTCTTGTCCAAAATGAGAGCAGTGAGTGCAGTTGTGCCTGAGGATCTGTCAAGAGAAGAAGCATCAGCTAAAGCATGATCCGTCTTCACAAATGCACTTCTTGTCGCCTTCTTTGTGCTGGCTGGGAAATGTTTGTCTTCCATTACAAGCTTTAGTATGTTCTTCTTTGTAAACGATGCTGCATCAACACCTCCATGTCCATCAAACACCTTCATAAAACAAACACAATTTTGACACAAAGTTTATCTTTTTTTTCTCGATTCAGATCTCAAAAATTTCAAAACTTTACCCCATAGAAAGCTCCACTGGATGATCCGATATGTTGAGTGAGATCATCGACGCAGATGAATTCGTCTTCCATAGATTGTTTGGGTCCTTTATCCGACCAACTTCCAGATCTGAACACAGGCTGGAATGTGGAATTTACTCCTTCTGGTGATTTTGCACCAAATCTCTCGTCTCCTTCCTACGCCAAAATCAATTTCGAAAAATGTAAGTTTAATAACCCCAGAATTGCTTTTTGAATCACCATTGAATTTTAGGTTAAAGAGATCTGATCGGAAAGGATTCAGGTCCGATCTATAGCTACATTTTCTCCGATCTGTTTCCGATTT